AGCATCTTTCTCTGGCTGTCTCTTTTCACTTTGCATTTGGCTTTGAGAAAGCATGGAGAATCATCTTCATGTCATTAAAAATAACAGTTTGGGGGAAATTACAACACTTAGTGGCATTTAGAAATCAATAAGTAGATTGTGGTTTAAGACTACTGCAGTTGGTGATTTGTTGATATCTGTAACACTAAACTAAATTGTGTACAGTATATACTTATCTGAGAAGAGAATGACTACCTTACCAAGCTTTTCTTCTCAACTATTGTCAGAATAGAAAGAATTCAAAAAGAGATCACACTGCTTTATTTTTATATGAGTAGGTCTCCCAAGGAGAGTGTTACAATTAACCTAGAAATTCCCTGATAGAGAAACAAACAAAAACAAACAAACAAACAAACAAAAAACCTCCCCTTGTGCAGCTTCAGCAAGCAGTCTTATTAACTCTTTAAAAACTTTTTTAAAATTTAAGGACGGGGGCCTCTTCATCCAAATATTTTATTTAGTCCTTAGTAAAAATTAATTGAGAAGTATAATAAACTAACCAGTAAGACCAAAAAAGAAAAGAAAATGTTATCTGCTTGTCTCTTGGCAGGGAGTGCTGCTTTATGCTCTCCTGTGCCTTTAATTTAAGGATTCTCGGAAAAGAACTGGGACTGGGAGTCTGATCTCAGCTCTACTCGGCATTGACCTTGGCATTTCCTGGGGCATTTCATCACTCTAAGCCTCAGTTTGTCCATCTGGCAAAGGAGGGGGTTAGATTTCCTAGCTATGACTCCCGGTACTGTGATGTGCTTCTGTAGTGACTAGATAAGTAGTCTCCACAACCATATCATCCTAAAATCTCAAGTGGAGGAAAGCACGCATTAGGGAAAAGGCAGCATACTTGTGTGAAACTGTCAGCACCTCATGGTGCAACCGTAAAACGATGCTTTCTGGAGCCTTTGGTTGGCAGCGGTTATTTATTCCTGAATGAAATATTAAGAAGTATTTGTTTTGTGTTAGTGCCTAACACCCAGTTGAACTGGACTCACTACATTCCTACTTCTAGACGAGTCCTTTAGTTTCAAACAATTTATCTCTGGGTGGTTTTCTAGCACCCAAGTCAGGGCCTGGGTTATCTAAATGAATGCTTTGGAAATTTTTTTGACCACAAATCATAGTAAAAAATATAGTTAGCATTGCTACGCTGACATACTGTTTCACACATATACACACATATGATAGAAACAAAGGTTTTATGAAATGGTATCCTCTTAATGTGACATGCACACCATTTTCTGTTCTGTTGCAGCCCTTATAAGATCCTAGTTGTGACCCTTTCAATTTTGTGACTAACTAAAGGGTTGTGAACAACAGTTTGAATTACTACAGAGCTTTAGAAGAACTGGTAATGTTTCGTACCTTCTTTTTCTCCCGTTATGTAGTTTCGGTTTTTTAGAAGATGGAAATGTAATTCGACTTGGGGACCTTAACCCTACTAGCCTACTCTACCTCTGGCCTGGCCTGCTTTTCTGAAATTCCCACTGACATTATAGAATTGACCCAGACTGACTGGAAGCCTTCAAATCAAGAGATAACTGTTCTAAAGCCTTTTAGCCCAGAGCCAGAGAGGGCTCAGAAAAAAAGTAGGAATGTACCAAATTGAGCATTTGCTATTGTTTGAGTGTCTTCATTTTGGCTTCCTGTTATTTATTACTGAGTTAGGACTCAGAAATGATGCATCACATCTGAATTATGAATGTCACCGGGTGGGGTGGCTCACGCCTGTAATCCCAGCACTTTGGGAAGTTGAGGTGGGTGGATCACCTGAGGTCAGGAGTTCGAGACCAGCCTGGCCAACATGGCGAAACCCTGTCTCTACTAAAAATACAAAAATTAGCTGGGTATGGTGGTGGGCACCTGTAATCCCAGCTACTCGGGAGGCTAAGGCGGGAGAATCGCTTGAACCCGGGAGGCGGAAGTTGCAGTGAGCCGAGATTGTACCACCACTGCACTCCAGCCTGGGCAACAGAGGGAGACTCCATCTCAAAAAAAAAAAAAACAAGAAACAAAACAACAACAAAAAAAACCAAAAATAAATAAAATAAAATAAAAATAAATAATAAATGTCAGTTGCTGACTTCTCTGTGTGACTATGCTTTTCTTTTTAGCTGGGCAGATTTACTTATAATACGGAGCTATTTAGAGATTTTATGTATTTTCCATTGGTTATTAAATTATCTTTTCTCCGATTTCTAAGGATCAACTTAAATTTTAAATAATTATCATAATAATCACTCTGGAGTGTGTTTACATTTTAAATAAAGATAATAGGCCAGACATGGTGATTCACACCTATAATCTCAGCACTTTGGGAGGCTGAGGTGGGAGCACTGGCTTGAGGCCAGGTGTTCAAGACCAGCCTGAGCAAGATAGCAAGATCCTGTCTCTACAACAAATAAATAAATAAAAGATAATAACCACAATAAAGAATTAGTGCTCATAAACCCCTTAGCACAATGACTGTTAGTATTTCATATATTTCTAGCAGTTTTTCTAATGCAGTTTTCAAAAATATGATTGTAACACACTTTTATGTTCTTGCCCTCACTTAAACTTTTGCCAGCACCTACCTAGATTTTAACCATCATTTTAAGTAGCCTTATATTTTTGCTTTCCTTCAGTATTCACTCATATTTATTTAATGATTATACTGTATATACTTGGCCCCTGATCTCCCATCGTGAACAAGACATATCCTGCTCTCAAGGTACTGGTAATCTAGTCACTACATCATAATTTATCTTTTCCCTATTTATTTACATTATTTTCAGTTTTATAAATGTTACGATGAACATTGTTACATGTACAGGTGTCCCCTTCTATCCCCCACTCTGAGTTTTTTGATTATTTCTTTAGGAAAGATTGTAAGAAGATTGCCATATTATTTTCCAAAAAGTTTATGCCACTTTAAAATGCTTATAGTTATGTATGCATATGAGAATATTAGTTTTGCCATACCTGACCAGCCATGGATATTATTATTTTAAAATTCTTGTTCATGATTTGCTTGATAAATGGTGGCACTTTATTGATGTTTATTTGTATTTTTTTGGCTGACAGTCAGTGAATATTTTTCTGTTCATTTATTTCTAGTTATTTTTCCTTTTTGAGTTGTCTGTTTCTGTCCTTTGTCCATTTCTCAATTGAAGTCTTTTGGTTCTTCTTAACAATTTCTTTTACATATATTCTTTTTTTCTTTTCTTTTCTTTTTTTTTTTTTTATTGAGACAGAGTTTCGCTTTTGAACCTGGGAGGCAGAGGTTTTTTTATTTTTTTATTTTTTTATTTTTTTATTTTCTTTATTATACTTTAAGTTCTAGGGTACATGTGCATAATGTGCAGGTTTGTTACATATGTATACTTGTGCCATGTTGGTGTGCTGCACCCATCAACTTGTCAGCACCCATCAACTCGTCAGCACCCATCAACTCCATCAGTTATAACTCCCAGTGCAATCCCTCCTCCCTCCCTCCTCCCCGTGATAGGCCCTGGTGTGTGATGTTCCCCTTCCCGAGTCCAAGTGATCTCATTGTTCAGTTCCCACCTATGAGTGAGAACATGCGGTGTTTGGTTTTCTGTTCTTGCGATAGTTTGCTGAGAATGATGGTTTCCAGCTGCATCCATGTCCCTACAAAGGACACACACTCATCCTTTTTTATGGCTGCATGGTATTCCATGGTATATATGTGCCACATTTTCTTAATCCAGTCTGTCACTGATGGACATTTGGGTTGATTCCAAGTCTTTGCTATTGTGAATAGTGCCGCAATAAACATACGTGTGCATGTGTCTTTATAGCAGCATGATTTATAATCCTTTGGGTATATACCCAGTAATGGGATGGCTGGGTCATACGGTACTTCTAGTTCTAGATCCTTGAGGAATCGCCATACTGTTTTCCATAATGGTTGAACTAGTTTACAATCCCACCAGCAGTGTAAAAGTGTTCCTATTTCTCCACATCCTCTCCAGCACCTGTTGTTTCCTGACTTTTTAATGATTGCCATTCTAACGGGTGTGAGATGGTGTCTCATTGTGTTTTTTTTTTTTTGCAATCTACTCATCAGACAAAGGGCTAATATCCAGAACCTACAAAGAACTCAAACAAATTTACAAGAAAAAAACAAACAGCCCCATCAAAAAGTGGGCAAAGGATATGAATAGACATTTCTCAAAAGAGGACATTCATACAGCCAACAGACACATGAAAAAATGCTCATCATCACTGGCCATCAGAGAAATGCAAATCTTTTACATGTATTCTATAAATATAGTAAGACTATTAACCCCAGGCCTGTTATATATCCAGATATACCTTACATTTTGTTGTTTGCCTTTTCATTTTTTATATAGAAAACATTTACTTTTAAGTTTAGCTCTCAAAATTTATTTATTTAAACAATTTTAAAATAAGAGACAGGGTCTCACCATGTTGTTCTAGCTGCAGTGCAGTGGCCATTCAGAAGCACATTCCCGCTACTGATCAGCAAGGGAGTTTTGACATGCTCTGTTTCCGACTTGGGCCAGTTTACCCCTTCTTAGGCAACCTGGTGGTCCCCAGCTCACATGAGGTCACTAGATTGGCGTCTTACTTAGTGTGGACACCTGATTAGCATAGCGCACTATAGCCCAGAACTTCTGGGCTCGAGTGAACCTCCTGCCTCAGCTTGCTGAATAACTGGGACTACAGGTGTGTGCCACCACACACCTTTTTTTTAATAATTGAAATTTCTTCCGTAACTCCTAATTTTTGAAAGTAACACTTTGCCCGGAGAGCCAGTGATACTCATTTTTCTTTCATCTTAGTTATATAATTTGATGAAAAAATAACTTTTCGATTTGTTTGAAGTGTATTTCATTAAGTGGCATAATTTGGGAAGTATAAATGGATTTTCCTAAAACTTGCTGTTAATTATTTCAACATTACTTATTGAGTGGTCCTTATATTTTCTTTTGTATTTATTTGTGAAACTAATTTTGTCACAAACTTTAAGTTCTCATAATCAACAGGGCCTGCTGTGGCCTCTGCTGTGTCTTAAGGAATCTCTTTGCCTCTTTTAGTGCCAGTTCTACACTTTTAATTATTGTAGCTAATGAGTTTTTCTTGACTTCTTGCCATTATGTGTCTGCAATGATAGCCCTAATCTCTCTGGCCAGGTCATCTGGCTAATGGGAAAGGAATCAGATATTGGCTCTTTCCAAAGCCTTAGGATTTTACAGTCTCAGTTTCCGTGTCTGCAAATTGGGAATAATGACTCTTTCTAGTGTTGTTGGGAGGTTTACATAAGATGATCTTCCTGCAGCACCTGCAGCACTTGGAGCATCGATGGCGCTCAGTCAAAGTTTGTTTTATTTTTTGTTTATAACACCAGCACACCTCTAAGCAGGTAAGCTTTTTCTGTTGCCATGGTTCCATTAAGACTATTTTGAAACTCACTTTGGATATACAGAGTTTGGGCTGTTGAACTTGTTTTTTGTTTTTCTAGAATTCTGAGCCCCTTTTTTCTTCTCTAATATAGAAGGGTGGGGTTAACTCTGTCATCTTTGTACCACCACTTTCCAAATTTGCCCTGTGACAGCCAGTGGTAAGGAGAGGTGTGTGGTGGGTGGGTGCTGTGCTCTCCTTTGCAGGCTTCTCTCTCTCTCTTCATTTGCTATCTTGCCCTGAAATGGTGTGTCCTTTGTCCCCACTGGTCTCCTGGACAGCAAGGGTTGTATCTTCCATGGCTTCCATAAGGAATATATTTAGGGAAGGATAAAAGTTTAACTAAATTGTTCTTAACCAGAAGCTTAGGCATTATAAACTGGCAACTAGCAGACTGAAGTCCACCCTTGGACAGATTTAGAGTGGTCCACACACAGTGTTTTTAGAAGTTTTGAATTTGTCGGCAAGGTTTAAACATATGGACTTCACATAAACATCCAGATTGCCAGCTTCTCTTGACACATGGGAAGACGGAGCTGTGCCAAGCCATGAAATTACCTCCTGCGGACCCCTTGCTCCTGCTGTGCCTGCTGGGGCTAAGGTCCTCTGAGCTGGCTGTGAGAGGTGAAGGTTTGCTGCCATGGCTGCCTGCCGGTGGGAAAGCAGCACATGAGACCCAGAAAGCCTTCATCGAAAATCTGAAATGCTTCCCCTTTTTTGGACTAAGTAGTTAGAGCTTTTTTGATATTTAGAAGAGGAAAAAGAAAAAAGGAAATCAAAAGATAGCCAGAAAGCTCATGTTTCTAGAAACTTAGGTGTGGGCCAAGGGTGGAAGCATATACATAAAAAATCAAGACAGCTTTTATAACAGATGCTGATGTACCCAGTAAATATAAAAATAAAGGTGAGTATTGGTAAATTAAGGATGGCGTTTACCCTGATTCCCTGTCTGGAGGCATTTTTGGGGGGGCCAGGGACTGGAGTCAGAGAAGCCTGGGTTTGACTCTTTGCTCTGCCACTTCATATTTAAATACATTTAAATTCTAGTTTTAGAAAAGCTTAAATTACATTGTTGCTTTTTATTTTGTGCATCTGGATTAATATTCCTGGAATCAGTTTACATGCCTTGTTAGAATCTCAGTAACCTGTTTCAGTGTTCATTGGGGGAGAAGGAGTGTTGGAATGGCTAATTTATTTCATTATATTTTGATTTGGGGGATATTTTTGAATTTATATTTGAATGGTTTAATTAATTCTCTTTACATGTCAAAGCTTAGATTGTTAAACAGTTTTGAAGGATGAATAATTTTTATCTAGAAAATTAAATTAAGGAGGTTAATCTGCATACGTAGTTAGCTGAATTGGCATGCTGTTTGAATGGATTCAATTGGTTTGGAGTTTGGTTGCAGTGTGACTTTTCTGACTTATTTTTCTTATTGAGCTTCCATTTGGGAAATTTCTGTCACATCAGATGTGCAAAATATAAATCTTTGAGCTTGATGTGGATAGGATAGGGCAAAGTTTGAGAAAGTAAAGTTCACTCAGTCTGAAAAGGTTCTGTCAACCTTAAATAATGAGATTCAGAAAATATGATTTAAGTACAGTTTATTTGAGTGCAAAGCTTGAGGATGATCACCTGGAAACACTGACTCCAAGTGAATGGGGTCAGTGTTCCAATGTGAAGTCAAGGTTTCACTTACATAGGTAGAGACAGAGAAGTTCCAGCAGGATTATATCGTTCATACAAGACCAGAACATACACCACAGCAATTTGATTGGTTACAGATTGCTACATTCCAGGGAAGATTCCTTACTCCGTGAGAAGGGACAAGGATCTGAGGGGGTCTTATCTCTGGTGCTGCTTGGCATTTTAATTATTTACAGAAAAAATGGCAGAAGTTGCACCTGTATACCACGTGACTTGGGCTGCGTAGCCATATTCCTCTCAAGGCTCAGAATCAGTTAAAATTCCCACAGCTTTAAGTTGGAGTTATTTTAAGTTTGAACAATTTTATTTCACAGTTCAGTGTAGTATATGGAGAAGAATTGGTCCAGAAAAGTTCTTTTGAGACTCTGGGGGCTTGTGTGGGCTTGTCTACAGGTAGATTATATTTCTCCAGGGTGTGGTCCTCCTCTCACCTCACTTTAATTTTTTGTTTTCTTTTTTAAAATGTTCTACCTTACTCTTTACCAATTTCTCATTATTGAATTAGTGGAAGTATAGATCATTGTCAGGATTGAACCTAGAAGAACTGTATACTATATACCAAGTTGTTGCTTTATTGATCAGTGAACAAAAGATTGAGTTCTTGAGATTACTGTGATGAGATTTCCAGTGCTCATAGGCACTTTTCTAAGGGTCTTTGGCTATAATTGAAGTTCTTATATTTTGGTCATAAGAACTTCAGTGATGTCCTTATCATTATATAATTATTGGGAAACTACATTCTTAAGCTTGAAGGACTGAACTTGAACTTGAAAGCTTTTGAAGCAGTGAACTGTTTTCACATTGCACAAGTAAGTTTGTCCTTTGAGGGATGCTGCTGTAGTCACTATTTTCAGGACCCAGCATTGCTTATTTCTGCCTTTTCAAAATTTTTGCTTAAAAAGTTGATCCGTCTGTTGCTTTTGTTGCCTAGTAGTTCATGCTTATGTGTGTGGAAAAGTGAGGTTAATGATGGCAACAAATCCTGGATGGATTTGCAGAGAGAATGGGATCTAAATGACAGAAACATTTAGTTACTTGAAATGGAGTTTAGCTAGGAGATTGCAACAATTTGAAATTAAATAATCGTAGTACAAAAGAAGTAAGGTTTTAAAAATATTACTTATTTGATAGTTTGTTTCCCTTGATGAAATTCTGAATATTTGAATGAAAAACAGGAGGTAGAAATAGATACTAGCATTTACATTTACAAAATAATCAACCTTGGTGGTTATTAGTTGATGGTACATGTATATGCAAAATTCAGAAGGCTGTGATGAGAAAAGTCTCCTTCCCACTCACGGGTTTTAAGATTTTGTGAAAGGAAAACTGATAGAATTTGCACAAGCTGTAATGTATATGCCCTGATATGGATCTCTGGGCATTTCTGCTTCAGCTGTGTTAAACTTTTCACTTATAAAGCTGCTTTGGTAGGGGCAGGTGTGGTGGCTCACGCCTGTAATCCCAGCACTTTGGGAGGCTGAGGTGGGCAGATCACCTGAGGTCAGGAGTTTGAGACCAGCCAGGCCAACATGGTGAAACCCTGTCTCTACTAAAAATACAAAAATTAGCTGGGTGTCCATCCTGGCTCACATGGTGAAACCCCATCTCTACTAAAAAATAGAAAAAATTAGCCTGGTGTGGTGGGGGGGGGGGGGCGCCTGTAGTCCCAGCTACTCAGGAGGCTGAGGCAGGAGAATCGCTTGGACCTGGGAGGCGGAGGTTGCAGTGAGCCGAGATCGCACCACTGCGCTCCAGTCTAGGCAACAAAGCGAGACTCTGTCTCAAAAAAAAAAAAAAAAAATTAGCTGGGTGTAGTGGCAGGCATCTGTAATCCCAGCTACTCAGGGTGCTGGGACAGGAGAATTGCTTGAACTTGGGAGGTGGAGGTTGCAGTGAGCCGAGATTGCGCCACTGCACTCTAGTCTGGACAACAGAGCGAGACTCTGTCTCAAAAAAGATAAAAATACAAATAAATAAAACTGCTTTGGGAGGTCAGGGTCACAGGGATGCTAAGACTGCTGCCTTGGTACTTTTCTGCTGATGCCACAGTGGCCCCCTCTCTGAAAAAAACAGCCCTCCTAGGTCCAGGAGGCATGCAACAAGGATCTTTCACACAGGGCAGCCAAGTCTTACCCCTCTACTATCTCTTCCTGAATATGGAGGAAAAGTTCTTGGCCTGATCCCTGAGGAATTCCTCATTTCTTTATCCTAAAACCACTGTAATAGGACTGTGTGTACTCAGAAATGGGTTTATTTTGTATTCTCTATCCAAAGAAATATATGTGGTTATCCTGGAGAACTTTTCTACTCTATCAGTAGTAGGGATACTTGTCTATGTAATTAAAAATATTATCCTCTATTAGAGAATTTGCTGATGAACTCAGTGAACAAAAAATTGCCCAATTAGAAGAGGTGAAGCAGGCTTTTCTCAGACAAATTCAGCAGGAGATTGATTTGGAGAAGTCACAGCAGGCACTGGTTCAGAAGTGTCATTTACTTTTTTTTTTTTTTTTTTTGAGATAGAGTCTCGCTCTGTTGCCAGGCTAGAGTGCAGTGGTGTGATCTTGTCTCACTGCAACCTCTGCCTTCCAGGTTCAAGCGATTCTTCTGCCTCAGCCTCCCGAGTAGCTGGGACTACAGGCGTGCGCCACCATGCCCAACTAATTTTTGTATTTTTAGTAGAGACGGGGTTTCACCACGTTGGCCAGGATGGTCTTGATCTCTTGACCTCATGATCTGTCCACCTCTGCCTCCCAAAGTGCTGGGAATATAGGCGTGAGCCACCGCTCCCGGCCTTAGAGTTGCCATTTACTTTTTTGACACCCAGAGGAATAACATCGCTTTAACCTTGAAGGCTACTTACTGAGAATAGCTGCATAAAGTATTGAAGGCTATAAAGAATTGCCTGACTTTCATATCTCTGTGCAGAATATTATGGGAGGAGCACAAAGTGCAGAGCATCTCTGCACAGCAAGAAAAGGAGACATTTGTCAAGCGCATTGCACAGTAAAGCTGCTCACAAAGAAGGCTCAAGCACAGCCAGCTCTATTAACGTATCTATCCCAATTGAGACAGCTGGAAACAGTTGACTGACTAAATGGAAACTGATCTATGTAACAACATGTTTTTGTGTCGCTGTCTACTGAAGTTACTGTATATGTTTCCTAAAAGTGAAAAGTTTGCCTTTCGTGTGATGAGAGAACTAAGTCCACTGGCCAGGCAGATGTTTTTCACCCTTCTTACTCTGGACTTTGAGTTGTTCCAGGATCACTTTTGAATAAGGAGCTTACTTTTGTTAAAACTTGCTACCTTACTAAAGATTATAAGTTATAGTTTAAATTTGTAATTAATTCTGCCATCTTGCAATAAAGTGACAATTGAAACAAGGTGTTCCAAGTTGCGTAGTGAAGTACTATTCGACTTTTGTGATGTGGGTGAAAGTTAAAGATGCCATTGAACTACAAACAACAACAACAACAACAACAAAAACAACAAAACTGCTCTGGGGCTTGCAGCGCTTGCATGTGGCCACTGTGACACAAAAACTTCCTTCCTTCCTCCTTCCCTACTTCTCCCTCCCTCATCTCCAGATAGCTGCATTCTCTTAGCACACTCTTCATGTATTTGTTAAAGCACTGCCTCACATTGAAATTATTTCTCTTCTGCCCTGTGGTCCTTATCATTGTATCTCTGAAGACCTCTAGATCAGGGCTGAGAACACAGTAGGTAAAATTGAAACAATACAGGTTTGCGTTATGTATTAGGTCACACTGTGGGAGAGTTACTTTGAAAATCAGTTGTCTCCTAATGATATATAGTAATGGAGTCCCTTAGGTTTCTTTGATACAGAAACCAGCTCTGGCATTTCCTGGTAGGAGACTCAAGTATCTTGCGGAATCCAAGGGATGCATTTGGTCCTTGGGAATAGAACTGAAGACTGAAGCACACGGACAGCCAGGAAATCTCTTCTCCCTGCTGCTCATCGGTTTCTCTGTATCTGCCTCATTCTCTCTTGCTCACACTGGCTTCCTCCGTTTCTTTCTTAGTCCACATGGCAGAACATGGCTGCCAGCTGCTCCTGAATTTTACATTACAGTCTAGATAAGCGGGGAGAGATTGATCTCAGGCTCCCAGAATTGCAGAATTCCTTGGGAAGGAACCCAGTGGTCTGGCCAGGGTCAGCTATTCACGCTGGA